CTGGGCCCAAGCTTGTCCTGGGCCTGTCCTGGGCCTGTCATGGGCCCAGGCTTGTCCTGGGCTCCTGGGCCTGTCCCGGGCCTGTCTCGTAGTCCTGGGCCTGTCCTGTAGTCCTGGGCCTGTCCTGGGCCTGTCCTGGTCCACAGGTCAGTGAGGACCATGAACCCATCAGGAGGACCTGTGATGTGGGCTCTGCTGCAGGTGGTGGAATGGAGGCAGTTTGAGGTGAAGGAACATCTGTATTTTCCAGCTGTTTCCTTTGATGTGGACAGAAGGTTTTGACATTTTCTCCTCAGAATGATTGAGGAGTTGATGAATTGAAGCTTTCATGTTGCTCATCACTCTCCTCCTCGGTTGTGTCCAGCTCTGAGCCACTTTAATCACAGCTGTCCAAAGTTCCAGCTCTGCTGAACGTTTTCTTTATGTCTTTTTAAACTTTAATTTAAATGTATTTTGCTTCATGTGATGCTTTGTGTGGCTGCTGGTGTATCTGTTCTGGGTTTGAGGAGGTGGATCTTCTGTGAGCTGAAACAAATATTCTGTAAGTGTTGTTGTAACTGGATTATTTCTTTATGGTATTTTGTTTATTTTGGTGTAATTTATTTACCCTGTAAATACTGAGAATGTACAGAACTCTGGCATTGCATTAAAAGACTGTGACTCTCTTTGCTCCACAATAATTAAAGGGGTTAAAGGGCACTGGTCTGGTATTTTCTGGTTTGAACCAGTTTGTCTTGGGAAAGGGAAAGTGGTGGGAATGGAAAAGAAGTGAATAAAGGAGAAAAACTGATCACCTTTTTAGTGTTGAACACAGTTCAGTATCCTCCTGCTTCCAGTTCAGGCAGATGCTTTTATCTGCTATCATTACCCGACTATTTCACTGCTTTGTGACTTTCCTGGCACTGCAGAGTCCCAGGGTGGCACTAAAGTAGGGAGGTTTGAAACCCATCAGGCCTTATTGCTCTGACAGACCCTCTGCTCAACAGTTCCCAGTCAGATACAGTCTGAAGGCTGTGCCCATCCTGAGGGGAGGAACTCAACTGGTCCAACACAGTTTCTGTCCTGAAGGTCGTTGGTTTTCATTCTCACTGTTTAAAAGTGAATAAAATCTGAACAACAAATTACTTATTTAAAACAAAACTTCAGCAACAAAGAAACTAAACCCAGCACAAAAAGGAAAGTTGTGTTTGGTAATTATTTCTTTGTTGTAACAAAGTTTCTTGTAAATCTTATAACTGGCAGGACCAGGTGCTCAAAAGTGTAGCAGCAGCAGAATAAGCTGTGGAACACATGGATAAAAACAAAATACACAGATTTACAAATCCTTTTCAACCTATATCCACCTCAAACCACTACAAAGACAAGATATTTAATGTTCAAACAGATAAACTTTACTTTTTTAATTTATTTGCTGAAAAATGTTCTAATAAATATGGACAGGGTCGTGTTTCCCTCCTGTTCCATCAGTTTTAACAACATTTCAACTGTCCTCAGTTCACAAACTCTTAAACTGAGGACAGAGACGGACTAATACACCCCCATACCATCAGAGAGGCTGACTAATACACCTCCATACCATCAGATAGACTGACTAATACACCCTCATACCATCAGAGAGACTAATACACCCCCATACCATCAGATAGACTGACTAATACACCCTCATACCATCAGATAGACTGACTAATACACCTCCATACCATCAGAGACTGACTAATACACCTCCATACCATCAGATAGACTGACTAATACACCCTCATACCATCAGAGAGACTAATACACCCCCATACCATCAGATAGACTGACTAATACACCTCCATACCAT